GTGGCAACTTATTTGTTGCCAGGTATATGATGATCAGACTTATGTGTTGCCACATATATGATGTACGGAGACTTACGTATTGATACATATCTGCGCACGGGTGTCAGACGTGGTGGTGGGCGCGCCTGGGGGAGCCGGACGCGTGTACGTGTACAACGGAGGAGCGGAAGGTCTGCATCCCGAACACACACAGGTCAGTGTTGTTCTCGGTGGGAGGGAAGGTGAGAGAGAGAGAGAGAGAGAGAGAGAGAGAGAGAGAGAGACTCAAGAGGTAAGACAAGCGACGTTAGCTGCTATATATACACAGATGGAAATGATAATAATGATTAAACTATACCAAGAGGTAAGAATAACGTGATAAATAATGATCATAATACGATCAATGTCAATTATTTTGATAACCTCTTTACGGCAGATCCTCCGCGCGTCCGATTTCTCACCAGGACTGCGCAGCTTTGGCTTCAGCCTCGACGGGAGTGTGGACATGGACAATAACGGCTACCCGGACCTCATCATCGGCGCCCCGCAATCGAACACAGCCATCTTTGTGAGGTATGAGGTGGGAGTAGTTGACTCACACGAAGCCAAGGTGAGCAGAGGCAGACCTCTTACCATACGTGGGGAACAGAACGAGACAACAGATAACTAGGCAACAGAACATGAACACGAGAGAACAGTTTAATTTTGTTTGAGGTAGGAGGATTAAGAAAATCTTGAGTGTGGGGTTGTGAGTTAGGGAACACGTCTGGAGGAGGTAGTTCTGGGCTGTCCTCAAACTAGGTTCTGAAGGAAGACAGCATAACACATTTCTGAAGACATTGAATTAATCTGCAGTTTGTTCTGTGTTCCGTGTACAGATCGGCCCCCGTGGTGTCGTTGGTGGGTCAGGTGGTATTCGACCCCCCGGTCATCGACCTAGAGAACAGGAGCTGCACCATTCACCCACCAAAAGAGTCGCCCCAAGAAGTGGCTTGTTTTGAGTTGGTGGTCGAGCTACAGTACGAGTCCAACCTCATACACACGCCCCTCTGTGAGTAATTATTTCCCCGTTCAACGTCCCTATGAACACAAATACAGCGTAATTGTGTCTAGAGGTATTATATATAACTTGGGTCAACATATGTTGTGAGCCAATTCTGACAGTCAATAGTGGTGTTCATTCCACCATTTAAATTCTTAACCAATTAAATTTGGCATTTACATCTTTCCAATCGACTCACCATACATTGAATTGATCAGTCATATTCACCTCAGCAATTAATCAACTAGAATACTTATCAGCGGGTTTAATGTCTGATAACAGATTTTCTTTTTTCCTGTTGGCAGTGATGGAATTTGATTTGATTTTAGACGAGGAGCAAGGAAGATTAGGCTTCATGAACAAATCTCATCTCAGGTGAGTCTCAATACAGAAAAGTAGAAAGACAAAGACAGAAAAAAATGACAGACAGATAGACAGAAAAAGACAGAAACATAGAAGATAAATACGTAAAACAACGAAAGACAGAAGACCAACAAATTTGAAGAAATATGGACAGAAAATATAAGTCTTCACCTATTTCCATTAAACATATTTCTCCCCCTCATATAATATAATGGAAACATTAGCTATATAATCTCAATTAAATATGTAAACAAGTTGCTGAATCACTGAGGTCATTCTGCAGAAAGGTGTGAGTTTCACATTCCTTCATAATATTTATATAATTGGTTAATTGTATTATTTTGTGTGTGCGTGTGTGTTCAGGTCGAATGTCCACGTGTTCTCCAGCTCTCACCATGTCCACAGCACCAAGGACACCGCCCATCCCTTCAGGGTCCCTGTCTTCATCAAGGTAAGGGACATCTCGCAGGTAGAGAGAGAGCTTTTGGCTTTCAATCCTATCTCCATGTGTTGGGTTGTATGTAAATTATCTGTAAATCGGTAAATATATGTCATTCATCATTCACACTTCAGCGGGGCAGATACCAGTACCACATCCCTGGCACGGCCTCCGTCAGGGTAGGCCTCCTGCCCATCGAAGGCACCACCTACATCCTGCAGGACGGAGCAGAGGGCATGGGCAGGGGGTCATCTCAGGCCACCACGCTTCCTCCGGACGTGCCCAGCGTACTCGACTTCTTCTCGCAGACGTCCTTCCACGCCGACGTCAGGATGGACTGCGTGGATGTCACCACCTGTTATTCCACGCCAGACATCATCCTCCACGCCCAGGCTCCGTGAGTTTGTTGTTATTAACTCGCTTGTCAGTCCTTGCAGCCTATCTTCCCTTGATCCTTCTGCCCATGTTACCTCTCTCCCACGTCATCTTTACTCCCACGTCCCATGATTGCTGCAGACGATGTGTGTTGGTGCTTGTCAGCGCCCGAGTGAGCACTTGAGCATTGATGACTACGCATATTTACATCCCTACATTTTACATCTGTCAGATAGCATCAGATAACTTTCCATGACCTCTGACGAACTCTTGCCTGGCTCTCTAAGGTCAAGTAATTCTTCGTTATGAAACAACAAGGTGCGGTTGTTCACAGTGGGAGGTGGAGGGGCGGGGAGGAGGAATTTGCTACCTACAATACGTGAAACACAGACCACATCAACTGGGTTATAATGGCTTCCTACTCTCAGCTGAGCTTTTAATAAACTGCATGACACTTTCTGACACACTGATCACCTCTACTGACACTTCCTGAACCCTCTTAACCTCATTCTCCGACACTTTCTAACCCGTAACTACCTGTACTGACATTACCAGACCCCCTAACGATCTGTACCGACGCTTCTTGACTCCTTAAACCAACTGTCCTGGCATAATCTAACCCCTCTAACCATCTGGACTGCCACTACCTGGCCCTGAACCACCTGTGTCGGCCCTGCCTGACCTCTGAACAACATAATCTTTAGCATTATCTAGAGGTGTCATCCTGACTCGCTAATGTGACTTGTGTTGGTCACTCCCTCGCTTTGATTCCCGCTCAGGCGGCACCTGCTGGTGGGCGAGGAGCAGCTGCAGCTGCAGGTCCAGCTGGAGGTGAGGAACGACACGGCCTACGAGACGAAGCTGATGGTGTCGTACCCCCCTAGCGTGCAGTACGTGAGGATCTCAGGGGAGAAGCACGTGCCTTCGTGCCGGCTGCCTGTCAGAGACGGAAAGGTTGTCATTACTCTCGTCTGTCTCTTCAGCTCGGACCTATTTAGCGGGGATAAGGTGAGGAAGTTTGTGTGTGTGTGTGTGTGTGTGTGTGTGTGTGTGCACTCACCTAGTTGTGTTTGCGGGGGTTGAGCTCTGGCTCTTTGGTCCCGCGTTGTGTGTGTGTGTGTGTGGGACAGGGAAGGTTCCTGACACTCGCACGCGGCTTTGCTTAAATTTATTAAACATTTTATGAGCTCCGAAGCACTAGGAGGTTGTTTATACTAATAACCTTGGGAGGGGAAGGTTGTGAAGGTTTAAGACCTTGTGAACTGTTCAATAAAAATCAATAAAGTCACCATGAGTGCTTTAAGATGTACAGTTTCGTGAGCTGATGCTTAAATGCTTGATGATTTCTGACCCAGGTCTCACCATGGTTGAAACCTGGTCCAAGACTCTTTGTTGTTTGTTTCGTTGGATATTATAAATTTTCGTTATATATATATATATATATATATATATATATATATATAAATTTTTTCCTCGACAGATCCCACTGACCTTCCAGTTCAGCCAGTCACCACTGAGCCTGCTGACACAAGGTCATGACTCAGGTCTGACCTTTCACCTCAACGTCACCAGCAGCAGTAAGGACCTTAACGAGGCTGACAACGCCCTTGACCTTACAGTACTTAAAGTCAGCCTGGTCAACCTTCTTGTTGATGGGTGAGTTCAGGTGAAGGATAATTATCTATCTATCTGTCTATTTTCTCTATCTCTCCCCAACCATTTGGGCTGGACGGCAGAGCGACGGTCTCGCTTTATGCAGGTCGGTGTTCAATTCCCGACCGTGCAAGTGGTTGGGCACCGTTCCTTTCCACCCGTCCCATCTAAAATCCTTATCCTGACTCCTTCCCAGTGCTATATAGTCGTATTGGCTTGTCGATTTTCCCCTAATGACGCTCTCTCTCTCTCTCTCTCTCTCTCTCTCTCTCTCTCTCTCTCTCTCTCTCTCTCTCTCTCTCTCTCTCTCTCTCTCTCTCTCTCTCTCTCTCTCGTCTCTCTGTCTCTCTGTCTCTCTGTCTCTCTCTCTCTCTCTCTCTCTCTCTCTCTCTCTCTCTCTCTCTCTCTCTCTCTCTCACTTCCTCTTCCCGTCGCCAGCTCCTCGGACCCCGACACGGTGGAGGGGCGGGTGAATGAGACTCTGAGCCTGGACATGCTGTCTGACCCAGACGCCCTGGCCGCCGCCTCCGCAGAGATGCTGGGTCCTCACACCAAGCACAGCTTCGCCATCTCCAATGTGGGCCCCACACCTCTTCTTGGTGCTAAGGTGGGTAATGGTGGGTGCTAGTGGGTGTTATTAGTTGTTGTAAGTAGGTGCTGGTGAGGGAAGGGGGGGGCTGGTTTCATTGAAAGTTGTTGTTTACTAAAAGTAGATAGAAGCTAAGAGGGAAATAGTGAGTATTGACATGGATGTGATGGCCCAGAGCTGGTTAGTATTCAGTGCTGGTCATACTTTAAGGATAGAGGATGAGGCAAGATAGATAGACATATAGTAAGATGAAGTGTAGTGGATAGCTACACTTAACCTATCTCAAGTGAACAGTTCATCAAACAAGATTAACCCTTAAAACTCTTAAAACTTACGCTATCTTACGGGTGTAAAATGTTGGGAATCTCTTAAGAGACTTTAAAAATATTTTAAAAAATAAATATTAAATATATTAAAGAAAATAGTGCTTTCTTAATTCATTGAGGGAGTTAACTATTCTGCTCAAGTTTGTAATGTCTCTTAGGTGGGCACAAACTCTCCGATTGTGAGAGATTGTGAGATCTCTCAGAGATCCAAGACAGGCACAAGAGATTCTGCGCCCCTATGCCCAACCTCTTGGATATAGGGGCGCCCCTATAGCCTTGACTCCTCTTGGATATAGCACTTCCAGGTGCTATCATGTCCTCATATCCCAGAGCTGCTATATCCTGTCCTCATATCCTAGTTGCTATATCCTGTCCTCACATCCCAGTTGTTATGTCCTGTCCTCATATCCTAGCTCTTATATCCTGTCCTCATATCCCAGCTGCTACCCTATCCTCACATCCCAGCTGCTATCCTGTCCCCATATCCCTTCCATGTGCTATATAGCAGGCTTAGCGGGGTTTATTTGTTTGTTGTTGTCCTGATAATTGCATGATATCTTGCGGTGGATGTTACAGATGACGCTGCAGGTGCCAACTCACATGCCCAACGGCCTGCCCCTGCTGTACCTGGTGGAGGCACTCCGCACCTCCGGCCCTGTCGTCTGCCATACTCCTCCGCTCAACACCTTGAACGTGAGTCTCACTGCGGAAACGCTTTGGCTAACTTGCCTTGCTGTTGCTGCGTGTTTGTGTGTTGGTTTTGGGTGTGGGGGAGGGGAACGGGGGGATTAGAGTAGATTGGTGTATTGTGTGTGTGTGTGTGTGTGTGTGTGTGTGTGTGTGTGTGTGTGTGTGTGTGTGTGTGTGTGTGTTTGTGTGTGTGTGTGCGTGTGTGTGTTTTGTTGAATGTGTTGAGGTAATTTATATATGTAATTTGTACACACTTACGCACGCACGCAGACACGCGCACGCAGACACACACACACACACACACACACACACACACACACACACACACACACACACACACACACACACACACACACACAACGTCTGCGGCATATGCGAGGCTGGCTAACATCAGAACAACGTTCAGGAACCTGTGTAAGGAATCATTCAGAATCTTGTACACCACATATGTAAGACCAATCCTGGAGTATGCGGCCCCAGCATGGAGCCCGTACCTTGTCAAGCACAAGACGAAGCTGGGAAAAGTCCAAAGGTATGCCACTAGACTAGTCCCAGAACTAAGAGGTATGAGTTACGAGGTAAGGCTGCGGGAAATGCACCTTACGACACTGGAAGACAGAAGAGTAAGGGGAGACATGATCACAACCTACAAAATCCTCAGGGGAATCGACCGGGTAAACAAGGATAAACTATTCAACACTGGTGGGACGCGAAAAAGGGAACACAGGTGGAAACTGAGTACCCACATGAGCTACAGGGACGTTAGTGTTACGGCCCTCTCGGGTCGCAACCGGGTTCTTACTCAGATGTTGTTAGAGGTAGGGTATCCGGCCCCAAGCTAGTAGTGGCTTTCAAGGGATGTGATCCGTAACGCAAGTAAATTAAAGGGGAAGGGAAATAAAGGCAAAAACTTAATATTATAATTATTACCATCACCATAAATACTATACAAACGATTACACGGGGGGGGGGTATAAACACTAGAATGTACAATGTAGTCTTCTTCTGAAGACTCTGGACGTTCACGGTGCTCAGCTCCTGGTCCTCTTGTGGCCTCACGACGAATCCTTCGATTCTCTTGAGTCTACCCTGGCCACAGGCCAGCCAAATCACAGTTCCACTGGGGGCACCGTCGTGGAGGCCTTCAACCACAAGTCCAGCCGGCAGCTGGCAGGTTCCAAACAGCAACGCTGGTTAGGCCACTCCACAATCGATACTAAGGTAGCGAACCCTAGTCAGGAGCCTCGTGTGATCCCACAGGTCACTCTCCTTTCCACAACACCTCAGTGGTTAAGCGTCTCCACCAGTCAGTCCCGGGTATGACAATCCCTCAACTGCCACTTCACAGGCAGGCTAACACCACAGTGTTCATCCGGGGGGCAACTCACAGCTGCTGCAGCAAACACTTGGAGACAAGACGACTGCCTTGGGTAGACTGATCCAACTTCCATTACAGCAGTCCCAGGTCGGCTCTGTAATCAGACACGTCATCAGTAATAGGGACACACTAGGACACCTTACTTACAGGCTTAGACACAAACGCCCGTCGTATCCACTCCATAGATGGCGTTGCTGTCTAAGCTCCACCTCACCAGAGGTCAGCAGCGGCTGTGTTATGAGCTGATCAGGACGGGAAACTAGCCCTTGTGGCCAGTATATCTCGTCCTTACTAGGTGGCGGTGTCCATTTGGAGGGGGTTTCGGGAGCTGGCCCACTGATGGGGTGGTCGTCACTGCTCCGGGCTCGGATGCTGGATTCGGGTCCGTAACAGTTAGAAGGAACTTTTTCAGTGTCAGAGTAGTTAACAGGTGGAATGCATTAGGAAGTGATGTGGTGGAGGCTGACTCCATACACAGTTTCAAATGTAGATATGATAGAGCCCAGTAGGCTCAGGAATCTGTACACCAGTTGATTGACAGTTGAGAGGCGGGACCAAAGAGCCAAAGCTCAACCCCCGCAAGCACAATTAGGTGAGTACACGTGGTTAACACAGCCTGCTCCATAAAACACCAAGTGAACAGAAAATCACGAAATTGAACAGCAGAGCTCAATATGCCAGCCATCCAAACACCCGCTAAAATGAGTACGAGTAAAGGTCGTTTTTGCATGCGACGACAGGTGTTTTCCATGCAACTACACGTGTTTCCCATGCAATTACAGATGTTTTCTATGCAACTACAGGTGTTTTCCAAGCAAATACAGGTGTTTTTTGTTTTCTACTCCTTCTGCAGCTCACCTCCCACAAGGAGCGAGAAAGAGAGAACTTTGAAGAGATTGAGGATAAGGAAGAGGAGAAGAGTTTGGCTCCAAACACTGCAAGAACAGAAAATCTTAAGGCAGACAACCCCGAGGCAGCAGACTCTGCGAGGAATCCTGCAGCAGGAGAGGCGTCCAGGGCCCCAGCAGGAGAGGGGCAGACAACGGCCAGGACGGAAGAGACCCGCCCTTCACGACGCCGGCGCTTGGCGGGAAACTCACGCCTCGCCTCACCTGACGGGTCTTATGACCAAGATTCCGCTGCCCTCACCGCCTTCCCTCATCCATCTGACGACAATAAAAGGTGAGGATTTATTTATATATATGATTCTGCATGATAGAATCCTTCCAGATCTGTATCATGATGATTTATCAAATATTTACTAAGCTATTGACGAAACCAGTACAGCTTTCAACAATCATGATGGCTTTCTTTACATTTATTGACCAGCTTATGGGGCTAAGAAGCATTTTCAAGATTGTTTATAACAACAATAACCTTGGATTGTAAAGTTTCGAAGCTCGTAAGCTGTTTAATAAATGTAAAAATAAAAAGCCATGGTTGTTTAAAGATGTTCATGTTTTATAAATGGATGAGTAAATGCTTGATGATTCCTGGGGGGGGGGAAGGGTGTCGGTGCACTAGTGAATATCTAATAAAATATTGATGATTAATAAAATAATAAATACTAAAATACCTCTAATAAAATAGTCAACAATCCTTATTCATCGCCTCACATTGTTGGACATATTATCGTATGTTGGACATATTGTATTATATTGAACATATAACATAACAATATATTGTCAAAATTTGGTTGCATTTTCAGGACGAGAACTCTGACAAGCCTCGACTGTAGAGAAATTAAATGCCAGGAGATCACGTGAGTATAATAGTTAGCATAATTATTTTATTAGTATTATTTATAAAAGGTTCTTAGAAGGGAGAAAATAGACCCAGGAGCAGCCGGGGCCTTGAAAATGTTGAATATTTTCTGAGTGAGAGAGAAGGAGAGGGTGGAAGAGAGAGGAAGGGGGGGGGATAGAAAAAGAGAGATAAAGGAGGTAGAATCGACCCCTCCTCCCCCTAGAAAAGGAGGGAAGGGGTCTGCCGTGACTTAGATGAGATACTGGATTATTTCTCACTTTGAAATAATACTTCTCGATCACAAGGAAATTATAGCGAGAGAGGGCTGAGCTGGTGTGACTATATAGCACATGGAAGGGGGAGGATAACAGGATAGAAGCCGGGATACGAGAACAGCATGAGAGGACCAATGTCCAACCAGTCAATAAGTAATATCATTACAAATGATCGAACACCGAAGGTGTTATTAGTAGAACGCGTTACTGTGGAGTGAAACTGCGTATGGAGTTGTGGTTATCTCGGTTATTAATTACCCTTTGTTATCACTCCCACCACCTGGTTAATTTATTAAGCTTAAAGGTAAGCTTATGATATCCTAGGGTTGAGTACTTACTTTCCTCGTTTCAGTAAGTTGGGCGAGAGGATGTTAAGCTCGGTTCCTCTAACTTTTCTCCAAGGGACAGGTGGGATAGGTGAGACAGATGGAACAGGTGAGACAGATGGAACAGGTGAGACAGATGGGAAAGGTGGGACATGTTGGACAGAGTGTAGCTGGTAAATTTCTCTCTCTCTGTCTGTCCTTTAGACATTTATATAAGTATTTTTTACTTGGAGGGAATTCTAATAACACTCTAATATTGGAGGAGGGTGAGTTGAATATGAATTAACTCACACAATTAAATACGAAAGGAGTCAGGTAACACTGAGTCTCCCCCTCGCTCGCCCCAGCATACTCAGTATATCAGGCAGGGCAGCAGTATGTTCATTACAGACGTAGTGTTCCTGTTAGATACTAGTTTATTGACTTATTCACATACATGTCACCTGAAAATATTCTTTTGAGAATTAAGTATGGAGAGAGAGACTTTTTTTTACTGTGTGGTTCAAGATTGTTTCTTTTTCAGGATAACTTATAAGAGTATTTAAGAAATGTTGTTTTTCTGTTTTTCTTCTCAGATGTGAGGTGTCCAATTTGCTTGCTGGCAACACTGTAAAGGTGGATGTTAGCGGCTTCATCACTGTTGCCACTATAAAGGTGAGAGGCGCTCTCTCTCTCTCTCTCTCTCTCTCTCTCTCTCTCTCTCTCTCTCTCTCTCTCTCTCTCTCTCTCTCTCTCTCTAATATAAAAATAGTATTTGAAAATATATTCATAAGTCACTCAGGCTGTTAGGCAAGAAGGTTCTTTTTTTTTAATAGAGGTTGTCGTGCGGTTCTTCCTTTCTCCTCTTCTCTCCCATTTATTTCTCTACTCTGTTTCTCTTCTTTTCTCTCTCTCTCTCTCCTCTTTCTCCGTCCTCATTGACTCTTCCCTCTCTTCACAGCGACTCAAGACAAGGTCGATCACTCTGGAGTCGTCTATGACCTTCGAGACGACCCAGCCCTGTGTCTCGGTGAACGACCAGCCTCTCTCCAGCTGGTCCCACGACCATCATGCCACCACCTGTGGCGGCACAGCTGGCGATCTGCACCCCGAGGTCTCCACGGACGACGTCGACGACCAGGGCACCACAGACGTCGACGACCAGGGTACCACGGACGTCGACGACCAGCTCACCACGGACGTCGACGACCAGGGCACCACGGACGTCGACGACCAGGTCACCAAGGACGTCGACGACCAGGTCACCACGGACGACAGCACAACACTCAACGAGACGACCACGGAACAAGAGACAGAATCCCTCCTGACGAGGAACCCCGAGGACCACAACACCCCGACACAGCACGACGTCAACCTCACGGAAAACGACAACAAGAACGACTCTCGAGACGTCGAAAAGGCTCTCGAAAACGGCACAACTAACGCACAGGACGACACAAACTCCTCCGCCAACGACAAGAGCAAAGTTGTAAACACTACGAAATCTGACGCCATCGTCCCAGAAGACGGGGGAAACGACCCCCCAAAAGACGGGGGGGACGACAGAGTACCCTATAAGGGCTTCGTTATCAAGGCAACGACCCACGTCGCTCTCATAGAATGGGCAGTAAGTATTCGTGAGGGAGGAGAGACCGTGAGGGAGATGAGGAACAGTGAGGGAGATGAGAGATATTAATAGAGGTGAAGGACAGTTATAGAGAAGAGAGATAGTGAGGGAGGGAGGGGATATATATAATGAGAGAAGGAAGCAATGAATGATAACGGGTTATTCATGCCCGTGCCACCTCATGGGTAGCTTAATTTTCATCAATCAATGGGTGAGAGGCAGTGAGGGAGGAGTAGAGGCAGTTAGGGAGGGGGAGATACAGTGAGGTAGGAGGGGAAGTGAGGGAGGGGGGAGGAGAAAAGTGAGGTAGAAGGAGAGGAAGTGAGGGAGAAGGAGAGAAAGTGAGGAAGGTGAGAGAGACAGTGAGGGAGGGGTAGAGGCAATGAGGGAAGGAAAGAGAGGCAGCATGGTCTACAGGAGAATTAATGGCTACATACAGTTGTTTGACACCTGCCAAACAGGTGTCAAACAACTGTCTGACACCTGTTTGGTGTCAAACATCCTTCACTTCCTTCTATATCACGTTAACTATATCCTAGAGTAATTTCATGTATTTTAGAGTCTTCTAGTTGCCTCTAGAGTATCTAGTTTCTTCTAGAGGATTCCAATATCTTCTTGATTATTGTAGTTTGTTCAGGATTCTTCTAGTCTCCTAGTAACTTCTAGATTTCTTCAAGTCACCTAGAGTCTTCTCATGTCTTCTAGAGCACTTACTCTAGTGACTAATGCTGTTTCTCACAATTCATATGTGTTTGGATACTTTTAAGAATTGTTACTAGCAAGTATATCACTTGTGCCTTCTGTTAGAAACAAACATACAGACAGAGACCTAGAGGAAAGAGACTGAGAAGAAGCCGGGAGAGACAGTGAGGGAAAGAAGGACATTTAATGATAGCATACTGTAAATATTAGGATATTTATCCAGTCATTTTTACCCCCCTACAGGAAGGCAGATCTGGCCTGGAGTCGCTCAAGGATTTGGGATTCTGGACCCTGTTCCTTACGGTCATAGGAGCTGTTATGTTAATTATTATAATATCCTCGATACTGTATAAGGTAGGTAGATATGTCTAGTCTAACCTGTGATATGTTCAGCATACCCTTTTCCTTGTGGCTAGGTTTTGTGATATATTTTTTGTTCCTTGTGATTATGTATTTTACCCGGAGCTCAACCTCCAAAAGCACCTTAACGTGAGAACAATTACAAGAGCCCAGTCTCCTCTATAAAACACAAGCACAAACAAACACACAAGCATAAACACACCCGCACAAACACACGTGCACAAACACACCAGCAGGAGTACTGACTCTACCTTATGATGCCTCAGGTCGGGTTCTTCAAGAGGAAGCAGAGACTGACAAGCGAGCAGCGAGAGGCACTCAAGAAGAGTCAAGAGAGGAACAACAGAGTCAAGATGTATCAGGATTCCTCGGTTGTGGACACTGGTGGTGGTGTGGTTATGGTGGGCTAGTGCTGGTTGTCTGATAGTTGTGGTGGTTGTGGTTGTTGTGGTGGTTGTGTGGTAGTTGTGGTGGTTGTGCTGTAAGTGTGCTGGTAGTGTGGTAGTTGTGTGGTTTCCTGAGCCTATTGGGCTCTGTCATATCTACCTGTTAATTGTATATAGACAATAGAGTCTCTCTGCATCACATACCTTATTGTCATATGTTATTTTTTATGACACTTGAAAAGTATTTTCAGTGTCTATGGCTCATTGTTGTACTTTTCATCTGTGTCCCCATATTTTGGAACTACTCATGCCAAATATTGTCTTTGTTTCCTTGTTTGCTCTGTATATTCCCCCCTTTTCCCCCCCCCCCCCCCCCCCCCCCGAGGATTTGTTATGTGGTGAACATGTCTCCCTTGATTCTTCTCTCTTCCAATAATGTAAGGTTAAATTTCTTTAGGTTTTCCTCGTAACTGATACCTCTTATATCCGGTACTAGTCTGCTGACATACCTCTGGGCTTTTTCGGGTTCCCGTTGTGTTTATCAAGATAAGGACTCCATTCGGACTCCGCATAGTCCAGAATATATCCGACATATGTGATAATACAGGAGCCTAAAAAGAGTCCTTGCTCAAATATCTTCAGGTAGTCCATATGTTAGCCAATCTTGCACATGCAGCTGATGATATCCGCTTGATGTTGGCTTCGGGAGACAGGTGCTGTGTGTGAAGTTAACACAATTCATTTTCTTTAACGATATTCCAGGAAACGTTTCTCTTTCGACCTGTTCTTCATATTAAGTATCTTGTTCCCAGCACACTGTTCCATTACATTTAACTTGCTTGAATTAAATTCTGATAGCAAGTATCAGCTAGCAATTTGTTTATACTTTTCCCAGTTTGTGTAGGTCGTCCTGTACTTTTTTTGCAGTCGTACACTATATTATAACAACATAAAATTTGTTGTATCATGTGAGAAAAAAAATGAGAAGCAGTCTATTTCCTCTGAAAAAATTATTTCGATAGATCGTAAACAAATAGGCTTTAATATTGACCCTGTGGAACCTCGCTGGTAACATCTCGCCATTATCAAGCCTCTCCTTTTTCCATGATTTTTAAAAAGTTATTTTGCTTAGGTACTCCTCTATCTCTTGAAGCATCTTCCCTGTTGATTCTTGTCAACAGGGGTCTGTTGAACAGACAACAGACGCTTGTCTGTTTCTTTAACTTTTCAACCAGTCTCAAGTAGGATACTATGTCGAAGTCTTCCTGGCAGTCCAAAACTATGCATTCTACCAACCCATCTGTGTCCTCACTGATCACTGTCGTTCGAACATAGAATTCTATGGAGATTCTTTTGGGCAGAATTTGACGTTCCTGAATTCATATCGTTGTTGTCATTGAGGCTCTTCTATGCAGATGTTCTGCTGCCAACTTTATCATTGTGTATCTCCCCCATGTTGCTTGATAAGCAAGTAACGGGCACTGTCTGATAATGCCTTTGTATAGAGGACTATCGTCACTGCCCTGGTTATATTCCACTGTAGTGGTTGTGTGGCGATGGTGATGATGGTGACTGGTGGGGAAGTAGGTGGTAGTAGTTGTTATATTATACAGTGCTGTGCTACTGGTTGGTGGTGTATTAATGGTGGACTAGTAATGATGGTTGTGGTGGAAGGAGTAGTGGTGGCACCCTTTAAAATTGTATATTAAATAAAGAAAACTGACTTCGCAATTCGGAATACTTTTATTTTCACTTAACAATTTTTTAAATCGCTATTTGTTGTGTTAAATTGGTAAGTGCTCCTACAAATGTCTAATAAATGTACGCTTTTGAGGGAATGACGAAACACAAATTGGAGTTTCTCTTCCGTATGATCACATACGTCATTGCCAGATTCAACAAGCAGTTACGCAAGTACTGCCAAACCTACACAACTTTTCTAAATCTGCGGCGGCCTTTTTTTACATATATTAAGCATTTTATGAGCTCCGAAGCACTGAGAATAACAGTGCTTCGGATATATATCACTCCATATAATATATGCTTGACATATATTATAAAATTTATAACAATAATAACATTCTATTGGGGAGTTTGGATGGTCGTAAACGGATTAATATATGTAAACAAAGGCGCCAAATATTGAGAAAAGATTTACAGGTTCGGAAGTACTTGCGAAACTGCTTGTTGAAGTCGCTCCCTTGTTGGGGAAAAAACTCTAAGCCCCGGGAGGTTATGAGTCGCCTGTTGGTGGATAGTACTCGCACTGTAGAGCAGACGTTTGCCGGAGCCGCTGGCGTCCCTCTGGGGCCGCTGACGTCTCCTCTGGGGAAGGCGAAAGCCACGCCGAGTGTCTATCGACACTCTGTGATCTCCAGACGATTGATAGGGTGTCAAAGGCCATCTCTTCTTCTTCGTTAAGGTACGTGTAGTTTGTGTGAAGGGTTTCTCCCGATGACTGCACAAGAGGAAGTGTTGGGAGACTCGTTACTCACAGCGGCGCCTCGGTGCTGAGGATTGGGTAAGGCTAGAAGTGTGTTGATGCTAGTTTGAGCAAGGATGAGGACTAAATTAGACGTTTGAGTTAGACTTGACGCCTCGTGGTGAGGGCTGGGTGTTGTAATGATGGTGTCAGCTGATCGTTGGTGTTCTTTGTAGCCAGGGTTACGTTATGTACATGTGACTGAGTCGCCCACACAAGTCACTTGTAGCCTAATTGTTTGGTTGACTGGAAACATTTAACCAATGATTTGACTACTTCGATATTTTATATATAGCTAGTCAAGATATAAATCTAGTTCATTTAGGTTTATTGCTCGTCAAGGATTATGAGGTCAGGAAGGACAAATGTTTACCATTTATAAGATTTTAAGCATTTTAAAGTTTCTAGCCTATCATTTGGGAAGTGATTTAGATTTATAGATTTGCATATTAGGCCACATCTTGTTAAAGAGAAAACATGTGGCTAGTTCTGGCTGCATGCGAAAGTAACAAGGTGTGAAATACAAGAAGCCAAATTTACTGATCAAAGGACAGTTTTGGTCGACAGATGATTGTGCTCTCTATTTAATATAAATAAACCATACCACAAAATATAAATCAGTAACATAAAATATACATCAATAATACAATCGTAACACTAAATATACATCAATACTACAATCGTAACACTAAATATACATCAGTAACATTTAAGACTGCCTCAAAATAAGAGATCACATCCTACACAGTTTACAGATGGATATTCACAAGTCTAATCACTGTCTTAGTGGTTAGACTTGTGAATATCCATGAATGAGAGAGAGGCCGAAATACACAAAGAGGCATAGCAAGGAACAAATGCAACAAATACACCTGCATAAAAAGGTACTGGCCTATATTTGCTGAAGGGAACAAGAACAGCGACAAATTCGTGTAATTAAACTTGATGCTGGAGTTATTAGTCTGGCTCAAGCATTATTGTACCTGGTGGATGACCCGACTTGCCTCCATATCTGACTAGTAGGGGAGAGAGAGAGAGAGAGAGAGAGAGACAAACATAATACCTGGGCGCGTGAAGTGTATATGGCGGACCGTAAGCACCGAAACCTCATAACAACTGATTGTGATTGTCATTCTTAAGTCACACAAGTCGCTGGTAGCCTCGGCCGAGTCGCTGAGAGCTTCGGCCGAGTCCCTGGTAGCCTCGGCCGAGTCGCTGAGAACTTCAGCCGAGTCGCTGGTAGCCTCGGCCGAGTCGCTTGCAGCCTAGGACGAGAGCCAGAGATCAGAGAGGTGTGATAACAAACAGGAAACAAAAGGGTTCTCGAAGGCCAAGGGAGATATTGTCTTGAATTTGTGGAGGGTGGTGAAGCTTCTCTTCTCCCAGCTTGGAGAGTGTAGAAGCTTATCTTTACCAAGCTTGTCGAGTACCGAAGCTTTTCTTCGCCACGCTTGGAGAGCGATAAAGTCACTAGCGCGCACAGATGAATGGTGAAACCTTTTTCTGTATCATTTTGGTGATATTGTGAAGCCTCATCCAAGTCTGGCAAGCGATGAAGATTTTTTAATCAGACTGACGAATGGAGACACTCTCTCTCTCTCTCTCTTTCTCTTTCTCTCTCTCTCGGCGCACTCCGTGCCTATTGAACAATCTCCTTGTTAGGCTTCCTTTTTCTTTACCAAAGAGCTTCCTGTCTTCAGAATAACTTAACTTTATTTTTCCCGCTATCTCCTCATTCGGTCTTTGTTTTTTGTATGTTTAATAAATCTTTCACACATCTTTTACGGTCACCAGTCTCGCGCTTTCTGGCCTCTCTTTATCTCTCTCTCTCTCTCTCTCTCTCTCGTTCTCTTTGTATCCATAAAGTCCTATTCTTTTTCTCATCATCAACGCTCTCGTCGTCTCATCACGCCTCAAGCTTTACACATTGTCATGGCATCTTGAACCAACCTTTTTCTGTATACACAGGACATGGTGCTGAGGCCCAGTTGTTCATTGTCTCTTTGTCCAAGCTCACTCTGCATCCCTTCTGTTGTACTCATCTACCAGGTCTGCCACACTTATCTACCAGGCCTGCCTCACTCATCTACCAGGCCTGCCTCTCATCTACTTAGCTTAATGTACGTCTTGCATTAAAAAGTGGATCCCACCACATTTTAGTCTTATCACACAGCACCAAGATGTGAGCAAACAAGCCTCCAGATAGACTCTTGTATTATACACATGTGGGAAAAACCTGCTGGGATTGATATAAGAGGAGACTACCAGGGACTTGTACTGAACTAAATTAAAAATTTACTGTCTGCAAATTAATTCAATTAAAATCTCTAGCTAGGGTTGTAAATCCTAGTTCCTCTTTTCCTAATGACAGACTGTGGGCTGTAAGGGACAGGTGGGGTGAATGACTTTGTTGATAGAAGTTCCAGTCCACCTGTAGACAGGGATCTCACATCAGCTTGTATTTTATACAAGGATAAGATTTAATTCAAGTATATATGCAATGTATTTATTCATTTTAAGATACAGTTAGCTTGACTGAATCTTTTCCAACACTATGGACACTTATGAGGTTCTTACTTATTGAGGCTGAATTCTTTTCTGACACAACGGACACTCACGAGTCTAGTGTTGGATAATATTCACAGCTACACTACAATTTTAATAAACGTACCGATGAATGAGGCGTTGCCTCGCTTTATTACCGACAGACAGATTTATAGAATATTAAAGTTATACAAGCATACAATTGGCCAATTAATACGCTACTGTAATAAACTTCAATATACTTATCTGAAGCCGGGTGCCTGTCTGACAAGTTTGCCAGACTGATTAACTCTCTTGTCGAGTTTAGGCACTATATTTTGTCACAGCGTTGCTGTATGATAATCTGGTAGCGTTGCTACGTGATTGTCCCTGCAGTTGCAGAAGAATGATTGGAGATAAAGAATAGGAATGAAGGTGGTGGAAACCGCGTCACTGTGATCTCCACTAAACACTCTTATTTTATATAAATGTTCTAGGATTTTCCTTGTAGATATTGTCCAGGTACTCCCCCAGTTCTAGAGAGTATTCTCTGGTGATAAAGATAACTAGATAAGGTGTCCTAAGCCAAATGTTCGCTAAGGATCAGTCACTTGTTCACCGAGTTGTAAACAAACGCGAAGTGCCCTCGGGCTTTGTTGGTGGGCGCTTCACTCCCCCCCATCGCCCTGCCATGCTCTCTGTGCATGGTAGCCTTCTATGAATATTGATTGATTATTTTTACAGTCTAAACTTATGATTAAGATAAGATGTGATTATAATATAATTAGATATAAGATTTAAAGATTATAAGTAGTATTTGAAAGTACCACTGAATCTTATTAAGGATTCGATTTTATCCCTACCGGATGTTGAATAAATGTTCCAATAGTTTTTTAATTAACAAATCCTTCTAGAAGCTTCTGGATCCTTGAGAGATCATGTACAAAGTCACGTAGGCATCAAAAGGGCCCTGTTGCGTACGTGTTCATGGTGACATTGTCATCCAGGATCAAGCTATATAATGAATCTATAATGATTCTAAAATGATTTTGATACGATTTAGATATGATTTTGATATGATATAGAAATGATATAGAAATTATACATTTCTTAGATGATTATTAGATATGATGGGTAAAAATTTCCCACAACACATTCCTAATTATACTTCTCTCAACAAGTTCATAGTCATTTAAGGTCTTGTTGTACAGGATCATTATTTGGTTTGTATCAAGTATATTGATGCAAATACTTGTGTATAGGATCTGTATTTGTCTTATGCAGATCTGCCATGCCATTTAATGCCATTTAATTTAATTGCATGAATTATTTAATTCATGAATTAAAGTCATTTAATTGCATGAATCTCTCATGTTATAGCCATTATCATACACCTTGATCATCATGGTGAAGGATGGAACGTTGTTTACATGTAAAGTCCACATATTTTACATATATAGTTTACATATACAGGATGTTTAAGGAAAATAATAAATAAAATCAGTGGCTGAACTCCATGATCAGTCTTAGAGGTAACTGTGTACAGTGCTCTGCACCACTGTACTGTTGAATAGCATGAGTACTGTAGTACATAGTGATGTACTACAGTGGAGACACGCTAGATATGGTGATACACTTCCAACTTTGAGGCACTCAGACGTTGGGACGAAGTGTGAGTGCCCTTCTAAGGTGCTCCACCTTAACATAGTCTTAGACTATATACTTG